GCAAAGTCTGTGATGCTTTGGATGGGTTGGGGTGAGTTTTTTTCCCCAGAAATGGTCTCTTTGCCTTAAATTTCCCTACAGCTGCTGAGCGTCTTTGGATGAGAAGTGCCTCTTGTGTTAGTTTGTGTGCAGGAGATGATTCTCTGGCCCTGTGATCCTGGTGTTAGAAGTGGTGTAGCTCACACTTGGAGGTTATTTGTGACTGAGACGTTGTGTTTATATAAATATACATACATATTTATAGTGTGTATACATTCTGTTGTTCAATTTTTGAGTAGTTGAGGGCGCTGGCTTGCTCTCTTCAAGCTTTGCCCTCAGCACGTGTTACTATATGTAATTAAAGCGTGATGGAAGAGAAAGGAGAGTGGTAGATCAGTTAAAATCATTGCCCCAATCCAATGAAATGAAGTGCTGTTAATCAATTCAACTCCCATCTCCTCTGTTTCTTGCCACATTCTTTCCTCTCTGCAAGCAGGAGAGAGTTTTGAACCGAGAAGCTGAATCGATGCAGCAGGGTTGTAGCTCTTGGAGTTCTTTCCTACCAGCTCCTGGTAACACTGGGCTTAAAAAGAATAAATAAGAGTCACTTGTCACTGGATGTTTTCCTGTCACCTGGCGTGTTACAGTAGTTAAGAGACTGAGTCACTGATTTTTAATTAAGATTGATTCTCTGAAGTCGATACTCTTTATTATTTTTTTTTCCTTGGATTTTGAAGCGAGAAAGTGGGGAAGGACAGTGACCAGATTCTTCCAGATGTGTGGAAATCTGTAACAAGCTCTTGCTACTTTCATACCCCAGTTGATCAAATACTACTTTTAAAATAGAAGACCCTAACTTCTGATTTTATTTCTTGCAATCAGTGCGAACAGAGGCCTTTATAACAAGTTCTTTGTTTCATTTTTGGCTACTGCCCAGCACTGTATTAGTTTGCTTTAGCCTTTTTCCGAGGAAACAGGAAGCACCATCCTTGTCTGAGCGCGAATTGCCCTAATCTTAGGGTAGCTTTCTGGAGAAATGGATTAAAAAAAGAATAGTAGCCTCGAGGCCAAGATTAATCATATTATCTAGAAACTGTTAAATTAATGCCGATTTCTGCAAAGCTCTTCCTTTTTCTGCGTGACTGATTCCTGTTTCAGCTAGGAACAGAACCTTTCAGACACAATCCAGGTGTGGTGTAGAAATGCTTGAGTTGTTTGTTGACTGTGGAAATAATATTCTGTGTTTGTGTATTAAAATATATATATATTTTTTGTTTCTATTGATAACAACAACAGACAAAAAAGCACTGGATAATGTTGTATGTTTTTCTTTAGGGGTTGTTTTTTTTGTAAAGGTACTTCAGATGCTGAATTCCTTAATGTCTGGTGGTTTTTTTTTCCTGTTTTTAGGGCAGGTGACATCACTGAGCTGAAAATTCTGGAGATCCCAGGGCCAGGGGACAGCAGACAATGCGGGGACCTGCAGCAGACGGAAATGAGCATCCCTGGGGTGGGATGCCAAGTGGGCCCCAGTCAGAATGGCACTGGGAAAGTGGTAAAGAAGCCAGTCTCCAGCAGTGCCCCACAGAATATCCCAAGGAGAACAGACATGAAGAATCAGGACATCATCATCTCTCCCCAGCAGCAGTGCTCCAAGAGCTACATGGATCGACACGTGGAGACGTTGACTCAATCCAAGGGCTTCCGGCGTAGACACAATTCCTGTGAGTATCCGTGTTATCCTGCAACTTTCCTTTTGCTTACCCGAGTTACTGCTGCAGCACCTTCCCTTCTTCAGCCACAACATCTCAACCGGTTCTAGAAACTGTTGTTTGTTTGCTTTTATACTTGTATTTTCACCTGAAGGTCTGGAGAAGAAGGAGATTAATGGTGAGGAGAAAAAATTGGCAAGCTCGGCCTCAAAGTATAGATCTTCCAAATGGCTGGCACTTCTAAGTCTCATCCATAATTTGGTGTGAATGTTCACGGGGTTTCATTAAAGCTTGCAGGCCTGGCCTTACAGAAATATATGCATACACTTGCATAAAATGCCCTTATTCAGAGATAGAAAATGATTTTATTGGGTAAGAGTAGTCAGGTGAAGTGGTTTGATCTGGTATGCCACTTCTGTGTTTTTTTTTTGTTGCTTGGTCTTGTCGTGTGGGTTTTGATTTTGTCTTTTTTTATTTTTTTGATTCTTTTTTTAAGAAGAATCCATTCTGTTTCTCTAGGCTTCTGGCTACCTTACAGAAATCTCTTCAGGGTGTATTGTGCACAGGGTTGCTCCACTGATGTCTCCTTTGCCATCACATTGATGCAGATGATAAATTCTAGCTCCTTTTCGTCTGCGAGGAGACTTTAAAACCTATCACTGGGGTTTTTGGAGGCAAATTTGGCTCTCAAATTCTTTTGATTCCTGAAGAAATACCTTCCTTAGCTAGAATTCAGGCTAGAGAAGGCAGTGCTGTTCAGCTGAGTAAGTGGAAAGTAGGTTACTGTGTAGGGGAGAGAGTGTATCCTCACCAAGTTGGCTGGTGACACCAAACTGGGAGGGCTGGCTGATGCCAAAGAGGGCTGTGCCACCATCCAGTGTGATCTGGACAGGCTGGAGAGCTGGACAGAGAAGAACTCATGAGGTTCAACAAGAGCAAGTGTAGGGTCCTGCACCTGGGGAGGAAGAACCCCAGGCACCAGTGCATGTTAGGGGTGGATCTTCTGGAAAACACGTCTGAGGAAAAAGATCTGGGTGTTAGCTAGAATTCAGGCTAGAGAAGGCAGTGCTGTTCAGCTGAGTAAGTGGAAAGTAGGTTACTGTGTAGGGGAGAGAGTGTATCCTCACCAAGTTGGCTGGTGACACCAAACTGGGAGGGCTGGCTGATGCCAAAGAGGGCTGTGCCACCATCCAGTGTGATCTGGACAGGCTGGAGAGCTGGACAGAGAAGAACTCATGAGGTTCAACAAGAGCAAGTGTAGGGTCCTGCACCTGGGGAGGAAGAACCCCAGGCCCCAGTGCATGTTAGG